ATCTCAACGAAACACATCTACCGCTTCTCAACCACATTAAGACCACGAGCTGTGATGCCATTGAAAGCAAATACGGTGTGACCAGAGATGAGCTCAGGATTTACATCCATTACCAGCCCTCTTACTATCACTTCCACATCCACTTCACTTCATTGGCTTTTGAAGACCCGGGAACTGTTGAGCGAATCCATCTGTTGGACGCTGTCATCAATAATATCACGCTTTGTAACGATTATTATCAAAAGTCTTCGCTTCTGTTTCCTCTCAAACAAAACGATCCACTCTTTAAGGCATTCACCGATAAATCTCTTGAAAAGATCACTTTAATTGATCCCAAATTAACATAATACCGTATTATTGCAATTATTTATTGATTATTACACGAATAGAAATGAAAATCTAATATCAAAATAATTTATTAATAAATAAAATTGTTGTAAATTGTGTTTAAAAGTTGATAATTGTTTGCATATCATATGAAATGACAGGACATCTGTTAAATCTAAGTGCCATCAGGTGTTCGGCACCCGCTTTACGCTCTAATACTACAGTCATCTGAAAGTTGATTGCTTTCATCTGATCACATATTTCTGAGATGTTATTCTCTTTGACAACAATCATATACAGCAAACCATTGTCACTGAGCAGTGATGGCACAGTAGGCAGGAACCGGTCGATCACTTGTCGCCCATCAACACCTCCAGCCCACGAACCACTGATATCACAGACGCCTACCTGTAGTTTCATGTAATTAATACACAATTATATTACAATTTATCACTTAAAGTTGTTGTATTTTGTAAATGTTGGTTTGCATTGACCATAGCATTGGCCATAGCATTGGCCATAGCATTGCCCACTCCCACTATGTTTGCCGTGAAAGGGCTCTGAGAAGACAACGTCCCGATTGATGTCTTCATCAATGTGTTCACACACACAGTGTATGCGTGACACGAATAGCCACGTCTAGTGTCATACGAATTGTATTCAATAGCAGTGTTCATAATAACAGTCTGACGCTAGACGTGGCTACGAGTGGACGCATTGATGAAGACATCAATCGGGACGTTGTCTTCTCAGAGCCCTTTCACGGCAAACATAGTGGGAGTGGGCAATGCTATGGCCAATGCTATGGCCAATGCTATGGTCAATGCAAACCAACATTTACAAAATACAACAACTTTAATTCAGACTTCTTGTGCAAGTGTTGGCACATATGGAGGATTGAACAGAAGTAGATCAATGCTATGAGACAATCGGCTTTCAATGGCTTGTGTCAGATCAGTGCGGACTAATTGAACGCATCCCTCGACACCATTAACTGATCCACACTTTCTTGTCGTCGATAATGCCTTTCCATTGAAGTCTGTGGCCCTATATATGCATTCAATCACTTAATCCATCACTTATTAGTTTATATGAGAAATGCCTACAAATATAAGCAATTGGTTGGACCCAAACACTTGGCCAGGGATGTGATGACAGCACCAGAACCACAGCCCACCTCAACGCATACCAATGGCCTATCGTTTCACCAGAAGTTGTCTTCAATTAATGTCTTCAATGAATTGATTTGAAAGTAATGAAAGAAATACTTGATTTGTTGGATGAGTGGTAAGTCCTGTTGGATGGCATCCATCATCACAAATGTGTCCTCCGATGGCTCATAGACTGACTCAAAGTCATCGCTGAATACTTGTGTCGGAAATAAAGGGCTTTCCATTGAATCGACACTTTTATTAAATCTAATAAATCATAACAATTACAGAAAATACAAAAATCTGTTCAAAAAGTTTTTCAAGTGTTTCACATTCACGTCAATCGCATAACATAACAAACATTCAATAATAATGTCTCATATGAATGGTTACAGTATTTCCTAAAACACCACAAATTGTATTGAATTTGTTTTTGTAAACCATTTGTGGGCCAATCAAACGGATCGTAATTTATGGGCAAATTATTTCATTTGATAAAAATAAACAAACAAATGGTGTTGACATTTGACTGTGAAATGAGCAAGTTGAAATAACTGACTTATTTACTTAATTTAGTAAAATATGTTGTTTTTAATGAAAGCAAACGTGTGGGCAATGAGTTCACGTGTTTGTCATAAACCTAATAAACACTCATTGAATGAATTGTTTGCAAAACTCATGAGTTTTCACTCTAAAAGTGACCCCAAATTGGTTTACGAGAAACAAAACCACAAATCTGTGACCAAATGTCTGGAGAACTCGTTTGGACTTCAGTTACAAGACATCGAAACTATTTATGAAAACTTTCC